TTCACTAGCAAATGTTGGGTTTTCTTTCCTTACTGCAGCTGTTGCGGATGAACACAGATGGATAGTGATACAGCAGCACACTGACTGCAATATGATAACGGCGTATATTAAATATGATCTGCCTTAACACGCTGAAACTAAACCCTATTATGTACTTGAATATTCTTTGCTTTTTTCAATGCGTTGTCCTCTCAGAAGCCTTCAGGCTTTAAGTTCAGTCCATAGGATACTGCTGGTGCTTTGCTGGTGGGCTTCTTTCAACAGCAGCATTTCGCTTTTTGAAATTCAGTAACAGATTTCCCCGGGCACCTGACAATTTCATATGAAAACAATTTGTCAGCACTCAAAAGGAATATAGTAGTTTCATTATAGACATGCTATACCTAAACTGGGACCCAAATAAATTTGCTTTTGTTGTAAATGCCAGCTGCCCTTCTCCTCTGAAGAGTTTGATTCCTGTGGAGGGGGTGGCAGAGCTGGTTACAAGCAGATGCTTCCTTTGTACAACGGGCTCAGGGCTGCCTTCTTTGTGTGCTTCCCCTTCTCTTCTTCCCTTGCTTCCACTATGTACCTGCTTTTCTGCTTCAAATCCAAGATTGTTGTGGTGTGTCCATACATCAATTTGATCTGGCCAGACCTATTGCAAACGTCTGCTCAACCCCTGGAGAAGGTGTTAGGGTTAAATGCTCCAGTCAGATCCAAAGTCATTAAACCAGCAGTGTGATTATTGGCCAGTTGGATAGATTGAACTGATTCAGAGCATTAAAGGGTAAGAAAACCTGACTGTGCAGAAGACATGTATAAGCAGAATATTTGTGCAAAGTTAATTTTACTGTAGTTTCTGAATTTTACCAAATTCAGCTTGTCTATGGTCCTTCAAAGCCAGGCTTGGCAGCAGCAGAACAGGAATGGCACGTATGAGAGAAATCCAGGACTTCTGCTTTATTGCACTGACAGAACCAAATTGTTCAATCTGTTGCCTCATCTGTTTCTTGCCATAGCTGGGAGTTGTAAAGGTCAGGCCATCACAGCACAAAGAATATAATAGTTAACATGCTGCATCTCGCAGTGTTACCAGCTGGCTAGTGCATTCCTCCCATTGAACAGCCAGGCTCTTTCCCAAAAAAAAAAACCCCAAAAAATATCCTACATAAGCAGCATCCTCAGCCTATTTTGGGAATGCGTCAAAGTCAGAAGTTTCTGAAGGTGGTAAGTGGGATGCTCAGTGTGGTCAGCGCTGCCTTTGACTCTCCATGTCCCACTGCTGTACTTGTATTTTCAGTTTGAAATAATTCTCATCGCGCTGAGAGGTGCAATTTTTTTGATCCTGCTATAATTGGGTCTGTTTGCTGAGAAAAATTACCTTACTGTCAGTTTTGTGTGTGAGTGTGTGTGAGGAGGTGTTAGAAGCCTCAACCAGTGTACCAGTCACCCTGACCCCCACCTCTTAATGCTCTGGGTGACAAAGATTTCATCCCACAATAGAAACCAGGTTTGTAGCTGCTCTAGCTTGTTCTACCCTCATGTAGGAGAATGAGAAGTCTGGGAATGGCTACAAGGTGATAGCTAGTGTATGAAAATTACTGTGAATATATGTGAAAAAAGGAGGTAGTGAGTGATACAAATAAATATGTATGAAGCTGGCTGCTATGGAAGACCTTTTCTGTTTAAATCTGATCTCCAGCATGATGTCTAATGTACCTGTCTCTCTTGAAAATATCAGATGGGTGCACAGGCAAAGTAAATGTAGTTTGTCATCCTCCTTGACCCTTCCTCAAGCAAGTCCTCTTGACTCTCCAGCCCTTCAATCTTCCTCTCTGTTTTTCCATGTTTTTAATACATGTTAAATAATGAAACTTACATGAAGATAAATGACACACTCTTGGCAATATTTGACAGGATAAAAACAGAAGTAAAAGCTAGTTAGTCCTCCCTTCTAGTATTTTTGTTAACGGTTTTGCATCCTAACAACCCTTTACTTTTGCAGAAACCAGATTGGTGCTTTATATCCAATTAAAACTATGAAGTTAGCTGCACTTGGGTCATAGAATCACCTGGTTGGAAAAGACCTCTGAGATCATTGAGTCCAACTGTACCTGTCCACTACTAAACCAGATCTCTGAGCACCTCATCTACCTGGCTTTTAAATCCCTCGAAGGATGGTGACCCCACCACCTCCCTGGGCAGCCAGTTCCAGTGCCCGAGAACCCTTTCAGGACAGAAATTTTTCCTGACATCCAATCTGAATCTCCTCTGGTGCAACTTGAGGCCATTTCCTCTTCTTCTATCACTAATTACCTGAGAGAAAAGACACACACCCACCTCGCTACACCCTCCTTTCAGGTGGTTGTAGACAGTGAGAAGGTCTCCTCCCCTCAGCCTCCTCTTCTCTAGACTAACCAACCCCATGTGCCTCAGTCTGTTGCTAGTTGCTGGGTTTTGCTGTAGGTTGTCAGTAGGCATCGATGAATCAATTACACTTGTAATTTAAAAACACAAAATTAAATTAAGTTCATAAACTTTCATTTTAAGAATACTGGGATAACCAATAAAAAAACCATTGCGTGCTGGGTTAGCTCGTTAGCCAGTCTGTTCTGGTTCACCAGCAAGTTTAATAGAGACCATGTTAGTGCTTTGGCCTCCAAGCACCACTTGTTTTTGTGTTTTTTTTCCCCTGAAGCCTGCACATCAGCCATTGTGGTTGATCCCATGTGCCCCTGGGCCTTCAGAGAGCAGAAGCACTTGGCTGTTGAGTTCTGACAAAGACCTGACATCTTCTGTGTTGCAGCTGATTACCTGGGTGGAACCACACCAGTGCTGTGCTTGGAGATGAGGGACCATGGCCTCACACCCATTGACCTTCATTCCAGTTGCTCACTTGGCAAACCAGACTGGCGTGAAAGATCCTATTTTAGCACAACGTGTTTTATACTTCAGTGCGGTGTGTGTTAAGAAGCTACATCACAGATAAAAGCCGGGGGGAAAGATGTTGATGGTTTAAACCTGAATTTATTTAGTTGGGTTTAGGTTTCTAACATGTACAAACTGCTTTTTTGGCACGTGTAACAACAGAAGAGACAAAAAATGCCTTTTGGTAAATTCTACTAGCTAAAACTTCTTGTTTGGCTAATATTCTAACTAAAATTTACTGTTCAGTATCTTAAATTTTCTCCGCTGTTGCTATTCAGGGAGGAGTATTGCACAAACTTGTTCTTTATTTCTTTAACTCTTGATAAGTTATCCAAGTCACTGTTTGACTTAACAGAGGATCTTTGTTTTATGTTTCAACACTTGGAATGCTTATGAACTTTAAATATTTTCATTCCTTATTAAGAAAAAGGAGAGGAGAGGGTATATTGAAGCAAGTGGCGTATGATATTTTAGTCCACCCTGGTTTTGACTGTTTGTATGTCTCACCCTTCAGAATGTTTGTTGTTTAATTGTGATTTCCTTTTCCTTCCCTCAAAGGTGCCATACTTGGCAGGTCGGAAACACAAGAGTGTATCTACTACAACGCTAATTGGGAAAAAGATAAAACGAACCGCAGCGGCATCGAACCTTGTTACGGTGATAAAGATAAGAGGCGACACTGTTTTGCTACGTGGAAGAATATTTCTGGATCTATTGAAATTGTGAAGCAAGGTTGCTGGCTAGATGACATCAATTGTTATGACAGGTAAGTAAGTTTTTTCCTAGAAATTTAAAATTTATTTGTCATTTTAAACTATTTTGTTTGTCCAGAATTTATACAACCTCCTCTTTGCAAACAGTACTGGAGACAAATGAAAACACAGTGAACTGTGTGTAGTTACCTTGTTTTTTAAATGCACATATGTCTTTTTTTTTTCCTTACTTAGGTGTATTTAGAGATCCAACTTCATCTAAGTACTTTGTCTTGTTTGTAGAATAGCATGTTTTACCTTCTCTTATTTAATTACTGTATCTTTAAAAAAATATTACTTTTTAGGCCATTAATAATAGATTTTCTAATGACTTGTTACTGCCAGACAGTGCAAATACAGTTATTGAAACCAGAATGAAAAATTCTATAATTTACTTTCCCCAAGTCTTTGGAGTAGAAAAGTCAGCACGTTGCATCTGCTTTTTACTTAACTGTGGAAATATTTTGCTGATTTATTAAAAAGCTGCCACCTCAGTGGCAGCTCTATGAGGCATCAAATGTTCTAAAATTCCAGTCTTTTTTTTTTTTTAATAACAGATGGTCCAGCAAGTACCCATGAGCAGAAACAGCAGGACTTGGGGTTTTGTTAGATACTGGCTGAATAGAGGTCATGACTCTTCTAAGAAATAGTATTATATTTCTTTGATCTACTGTACTAAGTTTTATTTGACCCAAACAGTTATTGAGAATTAAGAAAATAAATGCATAATAGATCTTCATTGAAATGTATTTAGAAATTATTTTTAGCAGTAGTTTAGAAATTTTTCTTTTTGTGTTTCTAAAATATCGAAAGAGTAGGAGAAATCATGATAGTAATTTCTACCAAATAAAGTTTCCCCACGCACCAGGATGTTTTCTCCTTTAATGACAGTTTAAAGCTAAATGAACAGTAGTTCTGATTTATCTATTTCTCAGAGTAGTAGCAAAGCATCTGCAAGCTGCTTGCACTGCGTGATTAAAATTTGGCTATGCTGGGAGGCGAAGGATGATTTTAAAGAAATCTTATTTGTTGCTGCTTGTATCTAATAACTCAAAGTCACTCAGGATGGGAAAAATACTTTGTTTTGGGGTTTTTTTTAAATATATAATCCATTTTTAGTTGTAGCTTTGCAGAAGAAGTGGGGGTATTTACACTTTCTGATCTAAGTTCATTTCTGCTGAATGTTAAACGAGGAGGATGGAAATAGAATTTTTCAATTTGGAAATAGAAAGTTAGGTTCTGTAGCATTGTTACTCGGCTCCTTCCACATGTATCTTTGAACAGTCTAAAAAAAAAATGGGTACTAAATTCTCCCTTGAGCAAAGAAAAGAAATTGGAAGAAGAAAAAGAATGCAGGAAGGATGTTAAGGCAAACTGAGTCAAAGTTTATCTGGCTCTAAGACCTCATTAACTATAAGTTGTCATAAGAATGCACGGAGCCGTGTTTGTCTAAAATAGACATTAAACAAAATCTTATCTCTGGGAGTGAAGAGCAGTTTACTAAACAGGGAGTCACACTGTGATGAACTCCAAACAACAGCAGATTAAGAACATCAAAGAAGAATTTTTTTTTTAATAGAAGTTACAGCACAGTGTAATTTTAATAGCTGGTTCTGTAAAATAACCTAATTTTTGAAGATGAACCCAAAACACTTTTGACAATCTTCAGCTGAAATTTAAAATCCTCAACTATTTCTGCAGGATTCTCAAATCCTTCTCTTTCTGCTGTCATCTCCTGCATGACTCCTGTTTTTCTTTCCTGACTTGTATAGTTTCAGCTTATTTGTTCATAGAACTCCTTTCCTCCAGTTAATTCGTTGAGTGAAACAAGCCCTGGCCCTGAGCATAATGTAGGCAGGGGAAATTGTAGGAATTTTATCTTTTCTAAAACCAAAATACAATTTTAAAATTCTCTTTCCCACTTATCTCCAACCCATGCAGCCCTGTACTGCGAGTTTATTGTTAAACACCAACTGCTTGATAATTTGTTTGTCCTCCTTAAATCATGAACGGTTCTTCAGTAGTTTTGTCAGCTTTTGAAATGCATCCTCTCGGTGGTTTTCTTTAACTTTGTCTTAAAAATAGCAAAAATACACTGTTTCAGTTTTAATATTAATGATATTTCATTGCAATATAAAAATATGAAAACATGTTTAATTTGTTTCTTCAAAATTAACTCTTATTTGGGTAGTATGTTATCCTGGATAATGAAGTTCACTTTAAATTTTAAATATGAGCATATGTTTTGTCTTGAACAAAAAAACCCAACTCAACTTAAGATTAATAAGCTTTTTATCTTTTATAGGAACGATTGTATAGAGAAGAAGGACAGCCCTGAAGTGTTTTTCTGTTGTTGTGAAGGCAACATGTGTAATGAACGCTTTTTCTATTTTCCAGAAATGGAAGTCACACAACGTAAGTTAGTCTTACCACATTTATGAAGGAACTGTTTAGCAGAGTTTAGAAATACTTTAATATTTAATATAAATTTAGAAATATTTTATATGTTAAGGAGATAAGATTTTTCAAAGCGTTGTGGTCACTTTTTCCTGCCGGAAGGTTTTTGATTCCCAGATGATAGAGTGCTGTGTGCATTCACATACAGAGCCCAGAAAATTGCCAGTTCATGTCTTCAGTTCTGAAAGGTCTCTATACTGAAATTAATTTAAATTGATAAAAGGTACTTCAGCTCTTTTCTAAGGGTGAGAAGGAAGGATGATCTGAAATAATTGACTGTTTTAAGATACAGAAGTTACTGTCAAATCTTACCTTAATTATATAGTTAAGCTTCTATAAGTGTCTATAAATCATTGGGCTAAAAGCCAGATCATCCTTGTACACATGTTCAAGGCCATGAACGCTCCTTTTCTTGAAACAATGTTCTCATTATTTCTTTAAACTAATCAGACCTTTGAGTTTCTCTGTAAATTGACACGATAACCTTTAAAAAGGGGGAAAGAATTTCCTCCTAGGTTACAAAGACTATCGGATAGCCAGGCTTAACAAATAATTGTTTTAAAAAACTATAACCAAAAAAAATTATTTGATTATTCCTGCATATCTTCTTCCAATCAAGAATCTAATGTTTGTTGGAAAACTGAATTTTGTTAATAACTGAACTGAAAACAGCAAGTGTTTTGTGTACCAAATAGCCAGAGGAAGTTGTTTCTGAAATTAAATAACATTTTATATGAAATTAAAATAGCCTTTGTTGACCCAAGAGATATTCTTGTCATTTTTGTTAGTGATACTGCTAAGGCAATAATTGTTCTTCTTCACTCTCATGAAATCTCTTTTGCCCGGGGGTCTGTGGCTGCCCCCTGTGCCAGCTGCCTCAAAAGCAGGGCTTCTCTGGAGCCTTTCTGGTGGTCCTATGGACATGTCTTCAACTAGAGAGCTTTTACTTTCAGCAAATCAACAGTGCCTGGAAATGTTGGCAGGTTATTTCTGGCCTGTTCTACTTATTAATGACATCTAATTGTACACATTCCAAAGACTAAACCTCTGCATCGATTGTTTTTTCATTCATTAGGTGATGGCATGCTTGCAATCTTTTTAAAATACAACCACCTCTTACAAGCTGTAGATAGGTGGAGCTTAGCAGCAGAAAAAAGCAAAGTGTGCTGATGTGTAAATCTGGGCATCTCAGTTATTTCTGCTCTTTCCAAAATGCTGCCTCTTTCAATATGTGTCTGTTTATTCAAAAATCCTTAATCCATAAGAAAAATAAAAATATGCAATTCCTGAAATACAAAAAAGTAGTGTGGGGGAAAAAAAAGTAGAGGATTCTTAATTGGATTACAGAACAGATTTTAGGCTGCAGTGGGAATGGTACACAAACATACTTTCAGTTTTGAGCGTGAGTAATCATATTGATTCAGACAGAAGTGTTCATATTCTTCAGATTTATTATGAACCTTCATAAACTGCTGAAAATTGAACAGCAAAGATCTGAAGTGGAGAAGCAGCATCCTCACTTCTAAGAAAGCAGTCAGATGCATTTAACAAACCTTTTCTCTTTTTATTTGTTTCTACATGTGAATTTAGGGAAAACAAACCTTGACAGTCTCGGCAGCCTCCTGAACATATTCAGTTTCTTAAAAATGTATTTAGCTGTTTTTTTCATTCTCCTAAAAAAATTTCCAGGTATCTTAAGACAGTTAGAGTACGTTATTTAATCAAGTATTGTTAGTCTGGTTTGCTGATCACAAGAATTTTTAGGAAAATCTTTTTTTGCTAGACATTGCAAAAACTGGATGATTTTTGTTTCTTAAAAGCCTATGTTTGTTTGTTTGTTTTGTTTTTTTCCTTCAGCAACTTCTAATCCTGTTACACCTAAGCCACCTCTGTTCAACACCCTGCTGTACTCATTGGTGCCTATAATGGGAATTGCAGTGATAGTGCTCTTTTCATTTTGGATGTACAGACATCACAAGCTAGCTTATCCTCCAGTACTCGTTCCAACTCAAGTAAGTCACTGCATTATGATTTTGGGGAATTCTTTTTTAATGATAAAATCATTTGGAGAGGAGAGGAGAGGAGAGGAGAGGAGAGGAGAGGAGAGGGGGAGGCGGTGTGGTGA